GCGGCCCTTGGTCCCCGCGGCGCCGAGAGGGGGCCGGGCGCCCCGGAGCGCCTAGAGCTGGCTTCCGCCCACTTCGGGAAGGGGCCATGGGGTGGTGAGCGCCCCTCGTTCTGCGAGGCCGCCGCCGGCAGGCTCCCCATGGCCGGGACGTACAGCTCCACTCTGAAGACGCTGGAGGACTTGACCTTGGACTCCGGCTATGGGGCCGGGGACTCGTGCCGCTCGCTCAGCCTCTCGTCCTCCAAGTCCAACTCGCAGGCGCTCAACTCTTTGGCGCAGCAGCACCGCGGGGCTGCTTGGTGGTGCTACTCGGGCTCCATGAACAGCCGCCACAACAGCTGGGACACGGTGAACACGGTGCTGCCCGAGGACCCCGAGGTAGCCGACCTCTTCTCGCGCTGCCCGCGACTCCCCGAGCTGGAGGAGTTTCCCTGGACCGAGGGGGACGTGGCCCGCGTGCTCCGCAAGGGCGTCAGCGGCCGGCGGCCGCCAGCCTTCTCGGGTGAGGCGGTACGGCGCCTGGCCGGGCTGCTCCGCCGGGCGCTGATCCGCGTGGCCCGCGAGGCGCAGCGCCTGAGCGTCCTGCACGCCAAGTGCACCCGCTTCGAAGTGCAGAGCGCCGTGCGCCTGGTGCACAGCTGGGCGCTGGCCGAGAGCTGCACGCTGGCCGCCGTCAAGGCGCTGTCCCTATACAGCATGAGCGCCGGAGACGGGCTGCGCCGGGGCAAGTCAGCGCGCTGCGGCCTCACCTTCTCCGTGGGCCGCTTCTTCCGCTGGATGGTGGACACTCGCATCTCCGTGCGCATCCATGAGTACGCGGCCATCTCGCTCACCGCCTGCATGGAGAATCTGGTGGAGGAGATCCGGGCTCGGGTGCTGGCCAGCCAGAGCCCCGACGGTGGAGGGGCCGGAGGCGGGGAGGTGTCCGCTGAGGCCCTGGAGATGGTCATCAACAACGACCCCGAGCTCTGGGGCGTCCTGCAGCCCTATGAGCACCTCATTTGCGGCAAGAACGCCAACGGTAAGCGCGCCGGCTGCCGGGACGGGCGGGGAGGGCAGATGCCCTAGGCCGAAAGTGATGGGTGTGCCGGGTTCTGGGAGAACGCCTTGGGGCTTAAGGTGGAGGAGGACACTGGACAGAAACTACTCCCAGACATTGTTCTTCTGAGATGAACTTTCAGTGGTAAAGCCCTAGCTGACTTTCGCCAACCCGTGTTGCTTGGCATTGGCACTTCCCGGGGTCTGTTCACTGAGGGCATGAGATGGAGCTAAGCTTACTGCCCTGCCCCCTTGTCTGATTGGGTCTCTAGTTTGAGAGCTGATGGACGCTGTGTGGTTTTGCCGCTGGGGTCTCCCAGCCTAGTTGTAGCCAAGGACTCTGAACTTGGAGAGCTGAGTGAACCATGGGGCTGGGAGGAGGACAGCCAGAAGTCCAGGGCCTGGTGCTGCTGCTAAAGACACAGAGTTGGGCTTTTTCTCAGGAAGTAGAAGGGTGGTGGGTGAGATGATGGAATCTGTGACTCCTGAACCTCCCCTTCCAGAGAAGGAACCACTTGCTGGCTTCCACGGCCTGGTTTTCCATGCTGTCACCTGCCAGGTGAGCAGTTTGTGAAAACGCTCTATGTACCGTGGTAGCTTCAATGCACAGCCAGGTCGGCTTTCCTGAAGGAGAGGCTGCTCCTGTGTGCCACAGGATGGGGCAGGGGTGGGAGGAGGTGGGCACGGCATGGTGTCCAATCTGGGAACAGAGCCATTGGAGGGTTTTCCCTCTTCTGACATGGCATGGCTTCTGGCAGAGGATGAGCACAGAGCATCTGACCACCGCCCCAGGTGACGTTAGGGTGTGGCCTGCACTCAACAGCAAGCTGCCTACCAGACTCCAATTTCAGGAGTTGGCAAACCATGAATTATTCAGAATGGTTCCTCGCTCAGACATCCTTGCTGTCTGATTGGATGACCATTTCAGGGTAGCTTTCAGGGACAAATAAGTAAGCAGCAGCAGACCAGTAGCTACTGGAGAAAGATAGAGAGGACCCATCTTCACGCAGAGTTTAACCTTATCGTCAACATGCAAACAGCACTCAGCAATGTGCCAGTTTCTGAGCTTAGCACCTTGTATGATAACTCATGGAATCTGAATAACCCTACTTATTGGTAGGTAGCTGTCCCTATCAATCTTATCCCTATCAATGGGGAAACCAAGGTGGGTGAGTAATTTGCCCAAGACTGTACAATCCTCCCTGACAACCTGCAGAAGACAGACAGACACACAAACACACAAAATTGCCATCCAGTCAGTTCCAACTCATAGTGACTTTTTATAGGTTTTGAGCTTGTCAGTCTTTACAGGAGCTGATAACTTCATCTTTCTCCCTTAGAGAGAATGAGGGATTTGAACTTCTGATCTGTCTGTAAGCAGTCCAATACTTACCCAACATTGCCACCAGGGCTTCTTAAAGATTACACAAGTAATACATTGCAAACCTTGGGATTTGAACTCAGGTTCCAGAGTCCACATTTCTAACCACTGTAGGAAAGAAAACCACATTTTAATTTGTCATTATCGTTGTTTGTTCCATTTCCAAGCAGGGCAGTTGGCACACTGGGGGCCCTCTGGGAGTACGTGTGGCTTACTATCACCGTCTGTGGGTTTTTTTCTTCCTGTCACAGCCTCTAAAGTAAAAGGGTGCCCGGATGGAACGCAAGAATCTTGGCCTCCTTTGCTTTCAGCTTTACTCAGGCTTAAGGTCAGACTGGAACTTCAGATGGTGATGTCACAGCCGATCATTGTGCTTTGCCCTCCAGACTGGTGTTGTCCACACCGGGAACACCCCCTCCAGGAGGGAAGTGGAGGGCAGGGTGATTTCCAGTCAGGGGTCATAGCTCAGAGGCAGGGTTCTGTACTTTTGGCTGAGGGAAGACCCTGGCTGAACTTGGAAGATGCAAGGGGTCCCAGGAGAAGACACAGAGGCCCTCGCTGTATAAAGCAAACTAGTGTAAAGAAATAAGAAAATGAAGCACTTCTCTGTTTTCTTTCACTACAACTTGAGGCTTATAAGAGCAACTGCCTCTATCAGTGACCAGAAATTAAGTACTAGAAAACAGGTGTTTTCCACTAAAGGCCTTACCCTATAGGGCAATTTCTTATCTGAGTCATCCTTCAGTGGGATTTTCTTTACAGAATCGGCTTTTGACCCCATTATTGGACCTCTTCCCCACCCCAAGCAATCCTGCTTACGTGGTAGTCAGGGTAGTAGGAGCCCCTCTATTACAGAGGACAAAGGCCCTGGGAGGGTCAGGAAGTGCCTCCTTTTGTGCATGATGGTCTCCAAGGCACTCAGAGGCGAGGTGGCCACTCGCTTCCACTTAGTCGCACGCTCATTTTTCATACGTGAGAAGCTGGGGTGGCCTCGCTAAACAATAGCTGGGTTGATTTATGAAGTTTCTTTAGACAAAGGGCATTAAATGCTTAGAAGAGGAGCAATGAATCAGTTGGGCCCGAAAGCCAGCTTCAGAGGGAAGCCGAGGAAAGAACCTTTGCGACGTTGGCAGGACCCAAGGGCCAGCAAGGTTCCAGATTACACAGCAGCAGACCAAGCGCAGAGCGGTTGCACAGGGGAGGGACGAAGAGTTCATATTCTTGTCCTGCTGGTCTTACCTTTAAATTATGTATCATTGTTGTCAGGCCTGCTAATTATACAGCAGGGCACCTGCATTTGACTCAGCTATATGGGGCTCTTAAAAGTCTAATGTCTTCCAACCAGGAATTTCAAGGCCCTAATCCAGCCTATCCATTACTCAAATGCTGGACAAATACGGTTGTGCTCAGCCCAAGATGGATAAGAAGTTCTTTAGTGTTGATACAGTATGATCTCAGCTGCACAGAACAGCAGGGGCTAGCTATCGCAGCCTGCGCATTTGGTGTTGATGCCCCTGCTCCCAGGGTGATGTCAGTAAACAATGGTATCTTGGTGGCTTCCTAATGGGCAGGTAGAGAAACCACTTTAGCCAAGGAGTGTTTATAAACAGGAGCTGTCGGAAAGAGATGGCTCCTCCTCTTTTTGGTATGTACGTTTCACGCTCCTTGTCACTTCCAAGTTTCTCCTTCGACTGTTTTGCTGACCGCTTTCCTGGCACTCGAGATGTCCTCCACTCTTGAACTCCAGACAATGAGGTGGTAGGATGTTGGTGATGAAATTCTTATGCCAAAGCAGTGCCCAGGATGGATGGGAGCATTGCTCATTGTTCTGTCAGTGCTGGTGAGGACAGACTCGGAGGCACCTCACAGGGTTCAGAGTGCTCTCCTGCCATGGATAGGAGTGGCACAGGATCATTTTTTTTACTCATCCTAAGCCTCCTTTTTGTCGTGTATAAAATGGAGGAGGATAATGGCACCCGTCTCATAAGGTTATAATGAGGATGAAGTGATAGTGCAGATTTGAAGATCTTAGCACATAGTGAGTGCTCAGTATGTAGCATCAACTCGGTCAACAAATCTTTATTGAGCTCTGACCCTTGGACCTCCTACTGGCAGAAGTGCTGTGGCTTACCCGGTGAGCAATAGCTATGAAGCTTGCAATTCAATGGTGGAGACAAGAGAGCCAGCCAATAATTTACTCTGTTATTAAAGAATTAAAATAAGCTTTACCTCCCTGCCCCGGACCTTGCCTCCTCAATAAGTCACAGAACCCAGCGCTATCTCTGCCATCGGACTTTGAGCTCAGAGCCATCGCTGTCCCCTTCACCTGCCAGTGCCTAGCACACAACAGTTGCTCAATAAACGTTTGACATGTGACTGGTGTGAATAATTGACAGGAAAAGCCTCTCTCACGTTTTATTGGTAATAGCCAGTAATGTTGACATCAGTGCCATCCGAGTGCCTGCACGTGGACAAAAGGCCTGCACGTGGACAAAAGGTGAGGCTGGCTTCTTCCAAAAGGAGATGTACAGCCTTGGAACCCCTATTTGGGGTCACGATGAGTCAGAATTGACTCGATAGCAGCGAGTTTGGGGGTTAAAGGCAAAATAAAAAGATAGTGACCTCAGGCTTTTCTGAATGATGGTATTTTTTACCGGTAGGGCAAGTCTCAACATCTCATTTGCAGCTAAGCTGTAAAAGGGCTGCATCTGGAGTGGGGAGCGGGAGCCCTTCTCCTGGCTGGGGATTGATTCAGGGAGGTGATTGTGGGATGGATTTCCACTGAGATAATCAGCGCAAGGAGCAAGGGTTAATTGAGCTGCTATTTGCTGTTTAATCAGTTTCCACACCTGGGTAGTCTGATGAGGCAGGGAGGGCTGCCCACCCTGCTCTCTGGCCGGTTTACAGAAGCCAAGGGGCTGGTAAAACTGAAACAACGGCAAAGCATTGGAAAGGAAAACTTATTTTTCTCTTTCATGCCTAGAAACACAACCCCAGCCTATGGTGGGGGAACAAGGGCAGGTGTTGCACTTCCTCCAGAATACTTCACCTGCCTGCCCCGACCCTTCCCTGGAAGACCCAGCCCTCCTCTGACTTTGAGCTCAGAGTCATCCCTGCCCCCTTGTCCTGCCAGTGCCTAGCACACTGCAGTTGCTCAATAAACATTTGAAAGGGGTAGGGTGAGGCCCACCACACAAATATTTTGCTTCCAGAATTTGCATCTGAATTTGTTTGACACCTTCCTCTAAAGAACCAGTTCAAACCCACCAACCTCACTGGGTGAGAATGGTGGGGCAGAATGCTTCCAAGGAGGTTTACAAGTCCATCTGTAGCAGTGGTTCTCAACCTACCTAATGCCACGACCCATTCGTACAGTTCCTCATGTTGTGGTGACCCCCGAACCATAAAGTTATTTTTGTTGCTACTTCATAACTTATTTTGCTACTGTTATAAATCAGGTGACCCCTGTGAAAAGGTCGTTTGAACCCCCCAAAGGGGTTGCAACCCACAGATTGAGAACCATTGATCTATAGAGACAGTAACTGGATTAATGGTTTCTTGGAGGTCAGGCAGGGGAGGTTGGGGAGAAATGGGGAGCTGAT